TATGTATCTATGTATCTATGTATCTATGTATCTATGTATCTATGTATCTATGTATCTATGTATCTATGTATCTATGTATCTATGTATCTATGTATCTATGGATCTATGTATCTATGTATCTATGTATCTATGTATCTATGTATCTATGTATCTATGTATCTATGTATCTATGTATCTATGTATCTATGTATCTATGTATGCATGCATGCATGGATGGATGGATGGATGGATGTGTGTGTGTATGTATGTATGCATGTATGTATGCATGTGTGTGTATATGTAATGTACGTATGTAATGTCTGTATTGTATGTAATGTATGTAATGTATGTAATGTATGTAGTGTATGTAATGTATGTAATGTATGTAATGTATGTAATGTATGTAATGTATGCATATCATGGTGAGAAACTCAGGTGCACAAATAAGGGGAAGGTCAGGTGCACAAGCGAGGGTAAAGTCAGGTGTACAAGCGAGTGGTCGTCCATGCATTATGCATTCAGTCCGGCATTTGTCATCTTGCATCCGTGCATTCGCCAGTCCCCGGGTGTGTCTCGTCGTCGCCCCTGCATTTGTTTTTGTCACAGTCGTTGGTGGGGATTTCACGCGTAGCTGGTTGTCTCTACCGCCGTCACACAGCACTAAAGTCAAAGGCTGAGAGAAAAAAAACATCGTTTGAATTGTACAGAGAAGAGGCAGTCTGCCAAGCGGTGGCTTTATCCAAGCTAAATACCGCAAAATGGCACCTTTTCAAGCGACAGCTGCGAGGATCAAACGCTGGGCTAGAAATCAGTTCTCTTCCGAGGCACTGCCAGGCCAGCAAGTAATCATCAATCTCTCTCGCAATGGGCTGAAGGAAGCCGGAGGAAGAGCTGTTCATCAGTGAAGACCAATTCAACCTGAGCAGGACACTGAGCCCACAGGATACTCTCAGGATATTTCATCTGGCTTTACAAGGCCCGCTGGTCCAAGCCCCCTGCACTATCTCCAACCCCTGAGCTGCACAAGGGACACAGGCTTTGAAGGCCGCTTGAATGTCCATAATTTGCAGTAGGCAGATTCTTCCGCTTTGTCAAAGGATCCCTCAGGGATATCCTGGGAGGCGTGGTGCGAATCAGGTATGGACCCACCTTCACAAATCTCCAAATCAAATGCCACAGGGCCACAGGGCCCATCTTTGAATTACCAGCACTGTCCATGTGATAGTGTCCTACAGGCCGCTAAAAAAAAGGATGACACATTCTGCTGGCCGACTGTGGCCGCCTGTGGCCAAGCAACAATCTGCTGGTAAAAATACATATCTTTGAACGTGGCCAATGCAGCCACATCGCCTTGCGGCTGCAAGGAAACAGTTTCGCAGTTCCGGTGGAGAGGCTGCAAAGACAACAGTAATGTTGTTTTGCATTTGTTAAGGTCACGCATCATCATGCGAGTACTGTACTACGTTACGGACGTTACTACATGTTCTTTGTCTAAATGTATTGTCATGTGAGGTTGCTTCAAAAGGGTTGTTTTTCATTCTCGTATGTGTTTTGGTCACTGACCTGGCTTTCCAACGCACCTGATCTTGTCTTTTCTACATCTTCAATTTATCTCAATTTCATGGTTTAACACGGTTTAAGTCTCTCTCTCTCTCATTTTCTGGAGCCCCACCTCGTTTTGCACAAAAATTTGGGATCAAGACAGAAAACACTTCCGTCCGCGGAAAGCGATTGCGCATATCAAATTATGCGATCATATTCCCTCAAATCATTACTAGCTGGTCTGGGACTTTGCACCGATGGAAGTGTACGAAAAGCATCTCAATATGTTTCAGCTGAAAGTCCCGTGCAACTTCGGGTGGGCCTTTTTTTAAGGTTCGTGGTCCACAGCAGCCACAGCGTATGCAGCAGAGGGTGCCTCGGCTTGGCAGAACTTGGTCGGAAGAGGGAAAGAGTCTGCATATTGACCGCGATCACCATCGGGATCGGGAGCTAAATGTTGGAAGCTAAAAATCATAGGGAAAGGTGAAAATGCTTGGGCTGCGTGCATATGAAATGGACCCTTGGAAGTCTGGCGAAAACTGCGCTCGCAACCAAGCAGCTAAGAATGATGATGACCCCAAGGACTACCTCGGTGTTCCAGTGCTGCAAAGTGCGGCCAAGCTGCCAGAACAGCACCAATCTGTTTTGGCCAAGTGACAGATGAAACACCTGCTATCCATGCCTGGGATCACAATATCAGCGCCAACAAAAAGCACAACGGCGGAAGCGGCTGTATCTTGTGGGTAATGGGGTAATGGTCCCAGGGCGGCCGAGGTGCAACTGTCTGCGCATCTTCCAAGTTGAGATCCATGTTGTGCCAGTTTTCTTTGGAGCATCTTACGCAACCCGAGCCACTCCAAGCTGAAATGCAGTGACGGTCACATTCAAATCAGTTGGCAGAAAGCAATCAAACATACCTCAATCTGGATACATGTCAAGTTGCTGCTTCAAGTAGGCAGGCACTGGATTTCAGAATATATACTGCGTAGCGTGATAGACATCAATGATGTAGAAATGTCTGAAACTTAGATTGCCCCCGTGGTCTTGTTCAGGATAAACGGGATAAATGCGTTTACCGTTTGATATTTTACTAAGTTCTTCCTTTCTCCAGCAAGCAGCAAGCAACAAAGTTGAAGGCTTCCATCATTCTGACCCATCTTGGAAAGCCCAAGGACGATGAGCCGTTGAGACTCAACAAAGGTTCTTGCTCTACACCCGTGCGAATTCAAGTGTAAAAATGAACAGAAATCGATGAAGACGATTCAAAATGACCATTGGTTCTCTTTCTAGTTTTACCATGTTTTACCATGTTTTACCTTTGTACATTTCCCACCTCGTGTTTGGGGTTGGCATCTGAATCTGCTACTCCCCCGAAGGATGACCCCAAACATTCTGACCAACCCTTTTGGCCATTGTCCTCGTGCATTGCTCAGATTCGTCCAATCCCGAGGAACGCCCAAAGACGAAGGGATTCCAACGCAAAACTGCGACGACGTCGCCCACATTGGCGAAGCAACCCCACGCAGCGTTGCGGATGGGAAGCCAATTTGGCTTCCAATAGATTTTGCCAGGAATCAAAGTGGAACATAATGGAGCAACACAACCGCTTCAAATAGATCCCATGTCATGCACACTGAATATGACTGAATGAGGCTCTTCTTGGTTCCCTGGCTCCATTGGCAGTGCTGCCAGCTGCAGGAAAACTGCCTTGCCAATCTGCAAGGCAGCAAAGGCTGCCGCTAAAGGCAGTGTCGCCAACGCAACAAAAGGATGCAGAAAAATAAGGATGGGAGAAGGGATCCGCTGCAAACGAGGCTGATTGCAAGCCTGCAACGCGACTAGCGTCCCCACGATTCCATCGTCTGGACAGACTCTGCTTCTCCAATTGGGCCATGTAAATCTTTACAAAGGCATGGTGCAAAAAAAAAGTGTGGCTTTAAAAAACCTGCCTTAGCAGGCTTCGCCTAACTATATCAGCTCTGGCAACGACTGCGTGATGCATGAACTTCGTCACTGATGCGGTTCAATTCCCTCAACGACTCCTCAAACAGAGGCAGAGGCAGGTAAGGAAGCAGCACCAGAAACCCTCAGCAAGTGGCAAATGCAAAGAATGCCCAACAAGAGCCATGCGGCTACTGAACCTGGGCTGGTGTCAACACAAGCCATCACTCCAAACCACCAGCTCCTTATAATCAGCTTTGGCCTCTCGGATTCCAAGAGTGAGCCTGGCACATGAGACATGGTCACGGCCTGATACTGGCACCAAAAGCATGCACTAAATCTACTAACCACTTTTGATCACTTTTGCATGAGGAGCTTCTCCGGCGAGGTCTATCCAGGCACCTCGCCACATCTTCCTGCGCCGCCACCAAATCCAGCTGTAGTCTTTTCAAAGAGCTGAAGCCTTAGCTGCAGCCGGGTCGAACCCGGCGAAGGCATCCTGGTTGCTGGGATGACCCACGCCACAGCCGTCAATAAGATGCATAGAATATCATAGAATTGCAATCATTTTCTAGTGGGCCATGTTTGATATCTTAGTAATCTATAGTAATCTATAGTATTTCTTAGTTTGCGATTGATCTATTGAGATCGAGGGGATGATAGTTGACCCACAGCCCAGCCACAGGGGCGGGCGCTCTCAATGGTGGCTGTTCCAACTTTCTGGCGCTGCGCTTGCAACTCTGCCATGGCGCTCTTGAGAGCCTGCGACAGGTGGTTGAAAGATGTTGAAAGATGTTGAAAGATGTTGAAAGATGTTGAAAGATGGGAAGAAGCTGGGAGAACAGTGCAATTTCATGGCATCGCTAGTAAAAACGGGTGCTAATGTCTTACCACAAATCTTCCCGGACAGGATAGATCGGATAGGGAAAAGAAAAGACAAAAAGAAAAGACAAAACTCAATCAAGTGTCATGTCTCTACAGGACGCAGGAGCTTTTCTGGACACTGTGCTGCCATATTTTGTTTATGTGGATTGCTTCATACAGTTGACTCCTCGGCCTTACTGGCAGCTTGAAATTCACCCTCGCAGCTTTGAACATCTTGTCGCAGGGTGCGAAGCATCTGCGCCTCTGGCGCCTCACCGTCCAAGAGGTCGAGTGGCAAATGGCAGAGGAGAGACCAAGAAGGTCGCCCCATAGGTAGCTAAGTTTGTCTATAACTATTATAACTAGGGCCTAGGGCAACTGGGGTTTATGGTGATTTATCCCTTAGATATCCTTAGATGGGGTTATAAAATGCAATAAACCAACTTCTAAATTGTGGGAGTGAGTCACCCCCAAAAAAAAAACAGCATGGACCCAGGACCCCAAAATGGCGAAGTTCGCCTCCTTCTGCTCCTCTGCTTTTAGGTTCACACGCTGCAGCTTCCACTGTCGTTTGGCCTCCCGGGCAACGCCTGTGGCAGCCTGGCCAGGGCTACACGGCGAGTGGTAGTGTAACACAGGTCATCATGGATATCACAGTACGTAGCTCACATCCTGTGGAAGAAGGTCAATAAATTTGAAGGAGTGATATCTGAATATCCCTGCAAGGTAGCACAAGATAGTAGTTACAGGCTAGGTATCGGTATATTGATATTACATGATATTACTTCGCAAATGGCAGCTTGATTCCAAAGATCACCGTCCTGGCACTTGTGAAGGGTATCAAAGTAAGGCTTTGCGTGGTCCATAGCACCGCTGACGCTACCATGGCGCGAGCGCAACTCATCGTAGAGATGGCTCCAGGTCACCAGAGCATTCTTGTGCTTGGCTTCTGCTCCGGTCAGCTCCAGTTCCAACCTGCGCAGTCTGCGCATGCGAAATGCAGAAGTTTGATCGGAAAATTGATTGGGAATACGGAGAAATCGAAATCAGGAATAACTCGTTTTGTCTCATGCAAGACCTCTAATATGCCCGAATCTGCTCTAAGCTCGGCAAAACAGATAGGACCTCTTTCGCCCAGCCATCAAGACTAAAACGTACTAGCAACTTTGCCTGTTCAATTCAGCAGCGGCGTCGTTCATACGCTCAAGCAGCAAGGGAACTTGCCTGAAGCACATCTCTCCAGCCATTCTTGAGTCAAATATGTGTGGGGGAGTCCAACGATTGGCCCCGCCCTGGCCCAACTGCTCAAGAAGGCATCAAAAAGGAATGGGAATGAGTTGTCAAGTCAAGTATAAACCGGAAAATGCTTCAGAAAGGAAGCTGAGATGCTCTGCACAAACACGTCATCCATGATCCCTCAAAATGCTGTTTTCCCCTGACCTAACCCCACGCCCCACGCCAAGTTTCCTGATCAATTCGTCTTCATCGTGCTTACACTCAGCAGGGTCCTGCATTGATCAGCTGCCATGTCACTCATGCCACCCCTTTTATGGCAATCATCTGCGTGGAACTGAACCAAATGGAGAATAAAGAATGGATCCCGAGAAGCAAACATCGCAAATGCAAACCACCAATGCGGCTGAGAAGCAGTTGAATGGATACCAACCACATCCTGCTCTACTACCACTGGCCCACACATCCTGAGCTTCACATGACCAGGACAGGTTCAACCCACTATATATGACCCACTTCAAGCCTGCATGGAAGCTTGTTTCTGGGGATGTGGAATCGTGGGAAATTCAGCAGTCAGAGTTGGTATGTAAAGTTAGATGACAAAGGAGTCATAAAGGTGACTCTGCTTAGCCCTTCCCAGTTCATCCATTTCGGCTACGGCTCCGCACAACCACAAGAAGAGCGGTCGGGACACTAATTTTGAGCCAATCTGTTTCAGGGATATCATGCATGCGGTGCCACCAATGATTTCCACCCAAGACATTATATATGTGTTTTTGATTGGAAGTCTTGGGTGCAATGAAGTCAGTGTGGATGCGAATGAAACACTAGCAGGCTTCACTCACGACTCACCATGCACTCCCTGCTGGAAGCCCCACGGCTCTTATATCACCATATAGAAAACCATGCCGGGTCCTAAAAGTGGCATGAATCCCATCTTCAGCACTTTCAACGTTCGTCCCCATCATCTACTCAGGTTCCCCAATGTTCCCAGGCCTCGCTACAGGGCAATTGCCCCGAGAGTTCGCACACTCGGAGGTACAAGAACTCCGGACTGGACGTGAAGGTGTCACCTGCATAGCATAGCAAAGGCGTTTGGCTAGCGGATGGGCTGGGGAACAGCTGGCAGTGTGAAAAATCTGAGAAAGGCACAGTTTGGCATCCGGTGCGGCTCTTGGAACTCCCTCAGCTGGGAATGCAGAGGTTTGCTCCAGACTGACTAGTTGATACAAGCTATCAGACAAAGCCCCTGAAAACATATTTGATGCCCAAGCCTAAAGCCTTGAAATCATATGCACTGTGATCCGTGGCATCGTGGGCGCGTGGCTACACATGCATACAAATGTCGATTATTTTTCCATGCGTGCATGAATACCGGCATAAGCATATGGACAATCGATAATACTATCTTCACAGGTTCCAAGCCCTCAATGCCGGTCACACTGCAACACGACTGTAGCATCGCTGAGTTGTTTCCCAAGGCACGGTGGGCATCGCAGCAAGGGGAGGGGCTTCTCGCTGTACACGGACTCCTCCCACGACGCCTCAGGCGTGTGCAACTGCGTTGCAAAGCTGTGGTGGACCACGGTGGACCCATGGGAACTTTGGCGCCTGCCTCGCGGAAGATACCGTGCGGTTGACTCCGGTTGCAGGAGGAGTAGCCTGGCACAAAGTTATGAGATCGGGCCAAACGAGACCAAGATCCCAAGATCCCAAGATATGATGAAGTGCGTCGATTCCATCCGTTTCCGGGTCGGCGACACTGAAGCTGTCTCAAGATGTGCCAGCCACGCTGCTCATGATGCTGCTGCTCATAGTCATGTCCTTGACCGACCTGACGATCCAGAAAGCTAAGATAAGCTAAGGCTTCTAAGTGCATGCGCATGAGCGCGCATCTCACAATCGCATACGATCGATCCCCGGGGGCCTCAGGACTTGAGGGCAGCTCCCTACAGGCCCTACAATAAAGTTTGGAATATGATTTGAAAGTTCTCAATTTGACCGCACTTTCCTGAAAAAATCGCATGACAATCTAACCAGCCGCCCTAAGTGGCCAACACCGGTGAATGCGCCAACTCTGGTTCTGCCTGGATGGATAAAGGTGCAACCTTTCGTCCCGTCCCAACATTTTCACCAGCTTTGTTTCGGGTCCTAGTGAATACTATAAACAAATCCAATCAGCCGAAGGACCCTGAGCAAGTTGAAATAGCCAGGCTAGTGTGCAAGGGGTATCACAAGAAATCGGATCCTTTAAAACTCAGAACGGCCAAATGTCTTGCATTGCCAGTCTGTCGGACATGAAGAGTTTCCTCGGGTTGTCTTTCAATATAGAGTTAGAGATATGATACAGAGGCATAAACCTAGGCTACGGCAGGTGGCAAAACACAACATTGCATGCTGGCACGGCCAGCAGTAATTTGTACCTCATCCTCCATGCTTTGCCGCAGGAAATCCAAGGTGGGACTGCGGACTTGCGTACCTGTCACAAGCTGGTGCAATCTCACGTGTCCAGTTGTACAGAATTGAAGCATACACAGTAGGCCGTCCATCCATGCAAGACTTCTTCCTCTCAACTGCCGAGATTCTATGAAGCCCAAAAGGCACTTCTGTTGACAAGTGGTGTCAAGCGGTCCATCCAATTCCTTTGCATTACGCACCCGTGTACGAATGGATGCATTTGCATTTGAGGCCTGTTATGTCTCGAGGCTTGTGACTCAATAAGCATCACTCTGGAAACACCCGTCAGCAATAAGCATGGCGGGAGCACTGCTTGAGGTGACGGTCCCTGAGTCTGGCTTCAACCATTTCGCTGGCACAAGTCTTCGCGAGTTGCCATTCCTGCGGCAAGTTCCAGAATGAATAGCAGGTGGCTATTTGCGAGCTGTAGACGATGAATCGTGATGACCGGCCTGAGCTACGAGTATAACTTACAACCATGAAATTGAACTACGTCTAACTACGTTGTGACACCAACTTGCACAAGTTGGTAGCAGTTCCTCAGATTCTGGACGCTATCAACTGCAGTCCTCTGCAGCTTTGGAGCGGCAGTGGGGGGAACAGGAGGAAGAACTGGCAGAGGAACAAAGCCATTTCCGGCCTGGGTTGCGAGCACATCAAGTGCGGCTTTCCTTATCCACAAGCTAAAACGAGAAAAACTGTGATCAAGATAATTGTGCGGCTTTTGAAGCTCCTTGACTTGAGACGTATCAGAGATGACTGCAGATATCACCACCACCACCAACAACATCACCAACAGTGAGGGCAGCTGCCTGTCCGGCATGCCAGCAGCGGAAACGATGGGTGACCCGCTCCTGAAACCGGCCAAAGTCCTGACAGGTTCAAAGCCACACAGATTAAGTGGGACACATACCAAGCTTAAGCACCGGGAAACCACCTCAAACCCAAACTGTAAACACCCGCACAAGCCCCTAGTCTACTCCCCAGCCCCACTCCTTGCATATCTCCGACATGCCGGCAGGCCTGACTTGGCACTGGATGATCAAAGGTGTGCAACGCCTTGAAAAGTATGGATGCTAGGTAGACGTAGTCATTCGGGATCATCATCCTAAACAGGGTTACGGTTGATCGCTGAAAAGATATGTGTAACCACCAAGCCGCTTTGGTACAATGGTGTCCCCATTCTTTGATGGTGATATCAAATCATATCCTCAATGATTTTTATTTTGGACATGTTTGAAACCACTAAGGCAATTTTGTTGGTGGCTAGTTGTATTACATCTCACAAATATATCAGCTACAGTATATATATATATATTTCCAATATATAACTGGCTCAAATTATCCCATGTCTCGGTTAGTTTGCATGGTTGATCATTGTCAATCTCCGATTTTTTGGCTAATGTTTAAAAGAACGGCCAAGCAGGTCTAGTCAGTTATATCAGTTGTATTATCACGTTCTCCATCATTTATTGCTGTTCATCCCCCAGTTTTGGACGGTTGAAGCCGCCCAATTTGGGTTCCCCAGCTGTAGCCAGCTCTTGGCCCAGTCGCGCAGCTGCGCATCGTTCAAGGCGTCAGTTCCAGAGAGCCGCCGCCGGTCCTCTGAGGGGCGCCTGAGTCGGGGGCCGGTGGCGGACCATGGGGACCATCCATGGAGAATGAGTGGCCATCCATGGCTAACCATTGGCGTGGCTTAACTTCAATGAGTGCAGGCATTCGGGAAAAGAAAAGTCTTAAATCGAAGAATTGTCTTCAGATTGGCTCTCAGATTTGGTCCAAATGATCAATGACGGGCCCCTTGCATCTAAAATCAAAATATATAGGATGGGTGTCACCATATGTCACCATATCCTTGCTATGGATGTAGCTACTTTTGATTGGGGCGAAGTGCACCCCTTTGTTTGGAAGGATACGGCACCATCTTTGAATTTGGCCCAAATGGGCATGGATGGGACAGCGTGATTTGTAAGTGAATAGTCAAACACAGCCCACACCGATGCCAGAGGTACCGGGGCAACACCGGCATCTTGCCTGTGCCATCTGTCATGTTTCAAGCTGTGCATCCTCAGATTATGGGAAACCCGGGAAACCCGAAGCTTTACTTTTTGAAGGATTCAGTAGGAACCACCCACAGTGGTGAAAATTATCCCTGAAGTCCTTGGGAATTGATCCACTCGCACTGCTTGTTTTTCTGTGCTAAAATAGTGGTGAATGACTGTTCTATCTCTTGAGATGTTGCTACACGTCTACATCAACTACCAGTCATGCAAATCCCTGAGTCCAGAAGAATCTGGAGTTGCACCTTGCTTGGTTATCCCATCTGCCTGTCACCAAATGGAGCGGGCTTCAGCCGTAGCTGTGGGAAACTCATGCTAGGGAGTGCAAGTTGTCAAGCAAGATCTCTCTCTCGCCATCGCCATCCCGAAGGTCCAGCTAAGGCTGAGGGCGAGCTGGAAGCAAGATATCGCCAACAAATGCCAACAGGGGCAGAGCCCCACCTTCTTAGGGTGGCCAGCCCAAAGCTTACTTGTCAGTGTTCATCAGCTATGCTAGGCATCTCAAAATCCATGCGGCCTTGACTCGAATCTTCTTGGGCTTCACCAGCTGGTTCACCTGCAGGATCCATCGCACTTGGTTCATCCATTGTTCTCTGCGATATGTGTGCTTGCTCTGCGCCAACACGGCGCTTCGGGGAAGCAGAGTTCAATCCCGAGGGCCCTGCAACTTCTTCCAAGAATGGCTCCGACCCCTGAAAGTCCTTTTTCCTGAGCTGGTGCCACTGGGCATCATGTGGAATTTGAGATCCTTCGAAGCCTATAGATGCCAGTCTGATGGATCTTACAAACTGTTCTAAAGTACACATTATTACTCATTGGGTTCTTGCAGGCTTGCACAAGTCTTCTCCACCCAGAACCCTAGCCATGGCCACACAAGACTTTCAACAAGCTTCGTGGTTCCCTGCTTTGCATCAGCATCCGAGAGTTGGAAGCCCTTGGTCTTTAGCAGGTTGGGTGCCAGTCATAGCAATGGACAGCACCCAAGTGACGAAGGGTAAAAGTTGAAATGACTCGTTGTAGCCTTATCGTTTTTCGTTTCTTTTTTGGTCCTTATCGTGTGACAGGTCACAGCAAATTCCAAGATACATAATCCACAACAGGTTCTGTGCCTTTGCTCCCTGGAAAGCATTCCGTTTTTGGGCACGTTTGCTTCAACATGTGGTTCTGTTTCTGTTGTTGTCGTTCTGATTGGCTTTGGTCATGTAGTCTTGCCCGGCCAGGCTGGGCAAGAGATCGGTAACACTCACTGGTTGTTTATTCCCTATCGGCTTACACGTCATGAGTGCTGGCACTATTTCTGAAGATCATGATCTTCATGAACCCTTGATCCAAGTCTTCAGGAGATTGTGTTTTTACACTTCCTTAAATGAGTGACCGCCGACCATCACCAACCATTTCCCTGAGGCAAGCACCACTACCTGTTCGTTCTTACTGTACAAGGCCTCAGGTTGTTGAGAGCATCTGCTATGGCTATGGCAAGGGTGTCCCCTTGAGACGCTTGCAGCTCGCCGTGCCATGGCAGCACTGACCTGAACATTTTACAGCGGCATGGTTCCCATGATGGCTGGGATGATTCCTGAAGCTGTCTCTCTCTCTCTCTCTCTCTCCATCGCTCTCGCCGAATTACTACATATGTGTATGTATACATATGTATATATATATATATACATATTTATATATATACCGTTAAAAACAAAGTTAGAATGCGGTTTTGGCTTCGCGTGATGGTGGCCCGTTTGGCCCCCCCCCCACGGCAGTCGCATTCTAACTGAGGAAACACCTGTAAATATGCAGAAACACAGTTAGAATGCGGCGCCAAAATTGGTAAGAAAATGTAAGTTTTGACCGGTATCTTACAGGCGAAATACAGTTAGAATGCCTCCTCCTTTTCTTCTATATTGTTCCTTGCCCTTCCTTTTCTTCTATGTCTTTTTCATTGATCTATATCTGCTGTAGTTTCCGGGGGGCATTTTATCTGTTGTTTTTCTACTGCAGCCACATTTCTGACCCGCAGGGAACCTGGAGTGCCCTTGTCTCTTTTCCGATCTTATCCGCTTCCCTTTCCTTGTCCTTTTGTTTCTAAAATGTTCCTTACCATTCCTTTTCTTCTATGTCTGTATTCATTGATCTATATCTGCTGTAGTTTCCGGGGAGGCATTCTATCTGTTGTTTTCCCTGCTGTAGCCATATGTTTCTGACCCGCAGGGAACCTGGAATGCCCTTGTCATGCCCCTGTCTCTTTTCCGACCTTATCCTCTTCCCTTTTCTCGTCCTTTTCTTCTATATTGTTCCTTACCCTTCCTTTTCTTCTAGGTTTTTTTCATTGATCTATATCTGCTGTAGTTTCCGGGGAGGCATTCTAGTCTATCCGTTGTTTTCCCCACTGTAGCCAGATGTTTCTGACCCGCAGGGAACCTTGAGTGCCCTTGTCTCTTTTCCGACCTTATCCTCTTCCCTTTTCTCCTCCTTCTCTTCTATATTTATCCTTGCCCTTCCTTTTCTTCTATGTCTTTTTCATTGATCTATATCTGCTGTAGTTTCCGGGGAGGCCTTCTATCTGTTGTTTTCCCCACTGTAGCCATATGTTTCTGACCCGCAGAGAACCTGGAGTGCCCTGGTCTCTTTTCCGATCTTATCCTCTTCCCTTTTCTCCTCCTTTTCTTCTATATTGTTCCTTACCCTTCCTTTTCTTCTATGTCCTTTTCATTGATCTATATCTGCTGTAGTTTCCGGGGAGGCATTCTATCTGTTGTTTTCCCCACTGTAGCCATATGTTTCTGACCCGCAGGGAACCTGGAGTGCCCTTGTCTCTCTTCCGACCTTATCCTCTTCCCTTTTCTCCTCCTTTTCTTCTATATTGTTCCTTACCTTTCCTTTTCTTCTATGTCTTTTTCATTGATCTATATCTGCTGTAGTTTCCGGGTGGCATTTTATCTGTTGTTTTTCCCCATTTTGGCCATATGTTTCTGACCCGCAGGGAACCTAGAGTGCCCTTGTCTCTTTTCCGATCTTATCCTCTTCCCTTTTCTCCTCCTTTTCTTCTATATTGTTCCTTTCCCTTCCTTTTCTTCTATGTCTTTTTCATTGATCTATATCTGCTGTAGTTTCCGGGGAGGCATTCTATCTGTTGTTTTCCCTGCTGTAGCCATATGTTTCTGACCCGCAGAGAACCTGGAGTGCCCTTGTCTCTTTTCCGACCTTATCCTCTTCCCTTTTCTCCTCCTTTTCTTCTATATTGTTACTTACCCTTCCTTTTCTTCTATGCCTTTTTTATTGATCTATATCTGCTGTAGTTTCCGGGGAGGCATTCTATCTGTTGTTTTCCCCACTGTAGCCAGATGTTTCTGACCCGCAGGGAACCTGGAGTGCCCTTATCTCTTTTCCGATCTTATCCTCTTCCCTTCTCCTCCTTTTCTTCTATATTGTTCCTTACCCTTCCTTTTCTTCTGTCTTTTTTCATTGATCTATATCTGCTGTAGTTTCCGGGGAGGCATTCTATCTGCTGATTATCTGCTGTTTTCCCCACTGTAGCCATATGTTTCTGACCCGCAGGGAACCTGGAGTGCCCTTGTCTCTTTTCCGATCTTATCCTCTTCCCTTTTCTCCTCCTTTTCTTCTATGTTGTTCCTTACCCTTCCTTTTCTTCTATGTCTTTTTCATTGATCTAAATCTGCTGTTGTTTCCGGGGAGGCTTTCTATCTGTTGTTTTCCGCACTGTAGCCACATGTTTCTGACCCGCAGGGAACCTGGAGTGCCCTTGTCTCTTTTCCGACCTTATCCTCTTCCCTTTTTCTCCTCCTTTTCTTCTATATTGTTCCTTACCCTTCCTTTTCTTCTATGTCTTTTTCATTGATCTATATCTGCTGTAGTTTCCGGGGAGGCATTCTATCTGTTGTTTGCCCCACTGTAGCCATATGTTTCTGACCCGCAGGGAACCTGGAGTGCCCTTGTCT